AATTGCTTATCTTTCTTTTATAACTTTTATATTTTGGTCTTTAACCGAACTCTTAGGACACATCTTATCACACTAGCACCCAGTACCTGAGTTCACCTACCAATAACTCAAATACTGCATTCAAATGAGCTAGAATACATCGACATGTACAAGACTTTGGTGGCATGTATACACACTTATACGTGTAGGTCTTTTATAAAAGCAATAACAATATTGACACTACACCAGTACGGACAGGAAAATGGGAGTCTCCATAAGGTGCAGATTCCACAGCTGCCATGTGCCTGTTCCAAGTCTTAGTAAAGATAGAAGTCACCAGCACTCACTTGTAATGTGCAAAAAGGATAGCACTTTTATTGATGCATTAAGAAGCCAACGTTTCTGGGCCGCGCAGGGTCTCTTCACGATGACGTCCTCATGAAGGGACCCTGCGCAGCCCCGAAACGTTGGCTTCTTGACGCATGTGACGCATCAATAAAAGTGCTATCCTTTTTGCACATTACAAGTAAGTCCTGGTGACTTCTATTTTTACTTGGACTGTACCATGGCACCATCCGTGTCATCACTTCAAGCACCAATGGACATTTAGTTTGGTTCAAGCGCTGTATGGTGTGCAGGTGATTCTCTAACACTTTTTGTTCCAGGTCTTAGTCTTTTTGGATAGAGCAGCCAAGATCAGACTGGCAGCACATTTAAATACAAGCCAGTAAGCGCAGTTGGCATGTATCTATCATCACATGTTTGCTTAATCATATAAAAAAATTAAACAATTCTTATAGATGGGCGGAGCTGTGTTATATACATGTAAAATAGCCTTTGTGAGATTCTTGTTATATCAATTATTTAATCCGTCAATGAACCAAATTAAATCTTGTCCGAGATCCACAGGTGTGAAGGACAGAGGTTACATACATTTTGAATTTCTTTGTTGCAAACAGCGTTTCCCTACAGACCACTACATCGCTGTTGGTCCCCCCGTGTGAGCTAAGTGCATCATAATGACTACTTGCAGAAGGTACAGAATGCACACATAAAAAATAATTACACCGAGCAAAGGGCAAGGAATGCAGCAACTTTAAAGTGGACCTATACTCAAATAATAATGCCCACTGTTGTAACAATCCTGTTCCATTAAAATAAGAAATGTTGGGAAATATTTACGTCTTCTTCAGAAAAAAAAAAAGGACAGTGGACACCACTCCATTCTTACATGATGGTTGTTTATAAGAACAATGTTTTTCAGAAAGTTTTCCCTGTCTATGTAATGGTGAGGGGGTTGTGAAGGTAATGTTAACCATAATTAACCCTGTCTGCCCTGGGCTGGCAGATCCCCATCAGTTGAAAACTAGATTTGAACAGTCTGTCCTAACAAAGGGTTAAAAATCGGAGGGCTTGTGTTCTTTATTGTATGTTACAGAGCGGAAACAGAGCCTGTCCCTACTGTGCCCACCTTGATTTTCACTTTTAAAAGCTAACCAAGGCCCAACCTTTTTTTTGCCATAGTTCTCCTTAGAGTCACAGGAAGACATATACTAATGTGAATATGAGTAAATGTATTTTATTAATAAAATAATAATAAAATATAATTAATAAAATGGATTTGCACTGATATTCAAGCTGTATCCTGGTGTACTGGTGACAAATATGTTCAGTATTTCCTGCTGTCTCCATGTAGTTGATCTAGTTCCCATTACTGACTTACCATGACTTGTTACCATTACTGACTTGTTCTGCACCGTGTCCCTGAATGGAGGTGGGCGTTTTGTTAGAGAAAGCTTTCCTTTCTCAAGTCAAAGCTGCCTCCCTCATGACTGATGTGGGAATATTCAAGAAGCAGAAGAGGTGGAGTAACACAGGTCAATAGAATGATTGAAGCAGAGAGATCCTTGCACGGAAGGTCCTCAGGTATAGTTTTCTCTTTGGCAAGGAGAACAGCGTAGCAGCACAGTAATGACGTCACCAAATCTTGCTCCAAATCTCCTAAGACTCACAGTCAGAGGCAGCAGTGCCCTATATGATCTCACATTGCAGATATATATCTGCAGGACATAAGCACAGGAGTACCAAGGCACAGGAGGTTATCTGCTTAGTTTGAAGAGACATTCAACACAAAAGATATACTGTTCAGGGTACTGCTTAGGCAAAATTAGAATTTCTAGATGTTCCACGTTAGATAGCAAATGTTTACTTTTTGAGTTCAGGTCCATTTTAAAGATTGTGTTGGTACATGTATGCATCTAACAATCATATGCACTGTCCATTGCTTAACCCACCAATAGGTCAAACAAAGCCACCACCGTGGTGAAAGAGTCACAGGAAGCCCAATCTGTATAGACAGCAAGCTAAAGGTCTCGAGTCTTATATCAACAGCAATGTAGGCCCACATGGATATATACCTCTGTGCAATTCTAAAGTAATGAAGACAACCAAATGCATTTCTTTTTTTCTGAGTAAGATCATTGGTCATATATATTGTCCATCAATGAAAAGTAATAGCGACTTCTCTGGTTACTAATCAATACTAAGCACATATAAAAAATAAAAATTAAAAAAAGCCAAGAGAACACAGATATGCAAAATGAGACTTTGTTAAAATGTAGTACTGACAATTTATGGGTGTGTGTACAGTATGTTGTCTACAGATGTTCTACAGTGATCTCTACATGGTTACAAAAAAAAAACTTTTCTAGGATGCTCCTGTCCCATCCTTCATGTGCCACGACTCTCAAACCACAGAAATCTTGAACAGAAGCCATCTAAACATAAAAACCTGTGGTTCCCGTGTGATGAGTTTCAAATGTGAACTCTGTGCAGCATGTATATGCATTGCAAACAAACGTACAAAGCAAGAATGGTAACACCTGCACGTACAAGTCCTTACCAGTTTGCTATAGTGGTATTTGCAGTAACCGCAGTACTGGACATTGTCTGCTCCATTTCCTTCCTCTTCACAAAGAAGGCCAGCAAACTGTGCACTGAAACAAGAAGCATGCATCAGGTGTGTACTATGGCTCAATTCTCAGCTGTAGTGTTGGTGTGACAGACCTTCAGGTTCATGAATTGAGAACGCCCTTTGCTGCTCCTCAGAATTTTTGTCTGCCAAATGTCATTCTCCAGGGCGCAAAGCAAAAAACCCTCTTTTATGAGAAGCCTAAAATGAAGCTGCCATTCTCTGCTCAGCATGTGTACCAATATCACTTCATCATCAGCGACAATGTTGTCCCAAAACGAGTAAGCATCTTGACAGTAGGAGAACGGCAGCTCCATCTGAGACTGCTCATGCAGGTATTCTAGGCTGAAACAGATTCTGCACAACTAATATGACCCAGATAAAATGGAGAGAGCCAACGCCTACAATTACCTCCCTGCAGCCTTGATTTGATTTCAGTGCTGAGAGCTGGTAGTTCTTTGGAACTCTTTCAGCACTGGAAACATGTTAAAGAAACATATTACCACCAAACAAGCCCTGGCCCCTCACCAAACCCTAAGGCTGACCCCTAGGCCAGATTTACACTATGACCTGCTTTAACAATGCATTTTTGTGCCTCAAGTTGCGCCCTGTTAAGGCAGATCGTTCAGTTTGACTGGGTTGGCAGCACACCACAGGCACCTTTCAACGCAACACACAAGAGGTACACATCTGTGCACACGGTACGATAAAATATGCATGCAATGAAGTGTGCTGGCAAGATCCACCGGGTGCCACTCAAGTCTACATGGGGCTGAACACTTAACCTTACCCTCAACTGAGCCCTAAAACATAATCCTCACCCCTCCTACCTACTGGGACACCACAAAGAAGCCCAAAAACTGAATTTGCAGTTTTACCCTGAACCTGACCACGCCAGCTGGTACTATTGCATGGGACCTGAATCAGATATACCCACTGACTGCTTCCACTCAACTTGGAATGCCCCCCACTATTTAGCAGAGTTCATAAACCTAGGTCACAGGAGTACATTCTTACAGCATAACCATCCACTTCGCTGAAGACCATCAAACACACAACTTATGTAGACAGTAAAATCAGACAACTTACCAAGTGACATGAAAGGCTTGTCGACATCCATGTTTATTGCAGGTCATACAAGCCCCAGTAGCAGCTTTGCTCTCTCTCCCTTGCTCATCGCAAATATAGCAAGTCTAAATAGAAAAAAAAAATCATCATCAGACGAAACCTTAACTTCATCACCGGATTATATGAAACCGCAGTGACCCCCTTTTAGGGCCCAGTCATCCCAAAATCTGGAGGAAATTGCAAAGCAATGGAGGGTCCATTGACTTGCAATTGTACCTTCCGATTTCCTTCCGTTGTGATACTCTTCCAAAGGAAAGAAGGACAGTGTCATTATAAATTCAGAGATGATTTGAGGATCTACAGCTGAGTGATAGACAAATAAGATGCATTTTTGTTGAAGCTTGGTTCATACCTAGGCATTGCGGGAACGTTTGTGCGTGTTTTAATGTTAAAAACTGCACACAATTGAGGGGAATAAAAATGCAGAATTGCAGATTTTGCTACATGCACGAGTTTTTCACCCATAGAAACTAATAGGCCCACGCGGTACGCGAAGAACAAACGCGCATGAATGTGCATAAATGTGACACATGTACAGGCTACACCTAGATGTGAACAGAGTCTAATAGTTAGGGAACGTGAATGTATTTTTTAGACTGCCTGCCCTGCTGTAGGGGAGAGTCCCTCGCCCACTTGCAACATTGTTAATGTTTTAAAAATCAGTGTATAGTTTGCAGTGACACACAGGGTGCCATTTTTGCTGTTCATTACTATTTCTCTCAGTGCAAGCCAGTTTACTATCTCAGACTAACTAATAAAACAACTGACCGTGTAGCCTGAATACACACGCACTTTGAAAGGACTATAGTTCCCCTTTAAAAGGAGCCCATGTGTATTCAGTGCACATAGCGGAGGACTCTGGGGGAGGTAGGAGGTAGTGTCAGTGAGGCGTCTAACTGATAACAAGCTGGAGGGGGATGGGTATTAAAAGCAATCAAGGAACCAGCTGGAAGTACTAAGCTCTGACTTACTGCAAGGAGCTGGAGGAAAAAAAAAAATGAAACCTTGAAAAGAGCAAGCTGGAATTGTCACGCTTTTTAATATCATTGGCGCTCAGCAGATCAGTACTTGGAGGAATGGAGATACTATGTCATCAGAAAATAAATTCTTAAACATACAGTATTGCAAACTACACTGCCTGGCCCAAAAATAGTTCAGCAACGTTATGTCCCCAACAAATGAGGTCAGCTGCCAACCCGAATATACTGAATGGTCAGGCTTTTCCATCAGGGCCGGTTCACACCACAAAGTCCACGTTCCAGTGCGTTCGGGGCAGGAGGGGGCGTGGCAATGTATTGAAGTCAATGGCACCGCAAACACGCCCTCCGCCCACAGTGTGATCGCCCGCATACTGCAAGCACTATTTTTGCAGATTGCACTGGAACAGAACGCAAGCATTAATGTGCTTGCGTTCCAGGCAACGCAGTGCGGGTGGGGGGCGTGGCTGCGGTGCCGTTGACTTCAATGCACCGCCACGCCCCCTCCCACCCCTGAACGCAGGGAGCCAGCCGTCTTGCATTCCAGTGCGTTCCAGAGGCCGTACGCACTGGAACGGGGACTTTGTGGTGCAAACCGGCCCTCAATGGATTTTTTTTTCTTCCCTGATGGCACATTGAACATATTCCAAGATGACAATGCCAGGATTCATCGGGCTCAGATTGTGAAAGAATGGTTCAGGGAGCATGAGACATCATTGTCACACATGGATTGGCCACCACAGAGTCCAGATCTTAACCCCATTGAGAATATTTGGGATGTGCTGGAGAAGACTTTACGCAGTGGTCAGATTCTTACATCATCCCTACAAGATCTGGGTCAAAAATTAATACAACTCTGGATGGAAATAGATGTTGTGACATTGCATAAGCCTGCAACAATGTTGGGGCGACTGTGTGCCGTAATCAAAGCTAAAGGCGATCCAACCAAATAATAAAATTAGACTTTTTTTGGGCCAGGCAGTGTTTTATACCTGTTTATATGTGGAGCACACCGACAACTCCACTTGCAATTAGAAACTTCCATATGGCCACCTTCTCCCCTTCAATAAGGCTCCATTCACACCTAAGCACGGACGGATGCTTGGTAGGGGTTTTTTTTGCTGCATTTGTTTGTGTGTTTTTCAAGTGTTTTTATGCGCGACTTGAGCTGCATGCTGATGTAATTTTTAGTGAAAGGGGGTAGAGGTCCACTTTAATTGCTTGTTTTGTCTAGGGCGCTAAAATAGGAAAGTTCTACTCACCCGAACCACAATCCTGGCTTGCTCTTACACTGCTCCCTGGGATGGAATGTCCCTCAGCATCTTCATGTTCTATACACTGTACAGAACATGATGAACCTTAGACAGCTGGAGCGGAGGGGGAGAGAAGCTGAATGGACTGGTTTAAGAGCAGGCTGTTCGGCTAAGTATAACTTTGTGCTTTTAGCTCCCTAGACAAAACAAGCACTTAACCCTTGAGGTGTGGGGGTAGCCGCACTGCAAGGGTTAAGATTTGATTTGCCCGGAGTTCTGCTTTAAGGCCCCAATAGACAGCTGAAATGTTGGTGGCTTCCTACTGAAATGCCAGAAACACAAGCTATGGGTGGCCCTGCAAACACCACGCAGCATGACTAAAGTTGATCTATAAACTCCCCTGAGACCAATCGAAAAACTATCAGCCCAACGGTGACTGTGTCCTATGAGATGCAGTCACTATGCAGGCAGCTGGGGGGTGCCACTGTTGTCCACTCACATTCAGTCTGGGACTGCAGCAGCTCACAACTTAAATTGACATAAAAGGTCACATTCCTCCTGCCCCCAAATGCTGCTTTAAGGGCTTACCCTAAGTGATGCCTCTTGATCCGATCATCTTCTTCTGTCCAGTAGTTTTCAGGATTCCCTCCAGCGCTGGTGCCGGTGTCTGATCCAGCGCTGACTGCTGTGTCTTCTGTGTCCCACGGAGTCTGTGCGGGTGCACGCTGCTGGGCTGCTTGCATTGCGTTTCTCCTCTTCTCCGGAGCGAAGATCTCTACCGTGCATGCGCCTGCCCCATGATCCTTCACGGTCGCTCGAGAATCTTCAGACATGAGCGAGCGGCGGAGACACAGGTGAGTACCGTAATAACCTTTTTGGTAACTTTGTTTTTGCATATATCTACTGCTTGCTAGCTAGAAGTAGATCTATACAAAAAAAAAACACGAGACTTTAAATATACTTTAAAGTTGGTTTCTGTGTCTGCTTCTGCGAACGGAGTGTTCCTTCTGTTCATGCCTTTTATACCAGCAACATGCTGCTGCCTGGAGTTCCCCTTTAACAAAACACTTTAGTAACATTTAAGTTTCCTGCTTTTTTGTCATCCAAATCTGCTTACAGAGGATTGGGACAATCGTAAACTAGCTTTGCGGTGATTGGCCTGCGTGGGATAAAACAATGAAATATTGTAGCTTTCTGGTCATGTGGAGGCAAAACTGCTTACAAGAAATAAATCCAGCCAGCCAGTCAAGTGAATCGGAAGGGGAGGAAGTGGCTCGTTCATGCCGCTGATTTGGAAGTGGAGTTGTTAAGAGGGTTGTGCACCATGCAAAGAGGGCAAAGAGTGCCTACATTCCCACGGGAAGAGGACACCTCCAACCTTCTCCTAAGAAGCAGGTTTCACTGTCCAGAAAGACTTTAACCCCTCGGGTGCTGGCTGAGGCAGTCATGCTTAGCAGCAGGGCTCTCCGTAGGTCTGTGCCTTCATTATAGGCCTGGTTTACATGCACCCTTCTCCTTCTCGAGGCCTCCAGGTCTAGCCTTTTATGAGACAGAAATCACTTGTACGCTCCAAATGTGTGCTGGAGCTTTTCCCACGTTTGCTTGGTAAATGGCAATCAACACGGGCATCAGCCTGACCTGAAATGGTGGAATTTAAGGGCTCCATTTCTTATTCAGCGAAACTGCTTAACCTCAATGCTTGCCAAAATCCCATTTTCCCTCTTAAAATGTGCTGGCAGCCATCAGGAAAGGCAACAGAACACAGGAGCTGCCGACAACATTTATAAGAATGCTCACCCCAGGAACAGTGACCGAGGGGCATCAATCTGTCAAGGAGTGTGATGATTCAATGGCCGTTCTGGCAGAATTGTATTTTGTGGGTACATGGACACAAATGTGAAGTGCAACTGAAGCCAGAACCTTGTTTTTTTATTTTATTTGGATAGAGTGGAGAGGGTTTAAAACACCGGTCAGGTTTTTATTGCTGTCTGTGTCCCTGTAAGGGAGATGGGGACACAGGAAAGTGCAAGGAAATCCCCAATTTTGAGTGTCACCAGAACAGAAAAATATGGGAAATCTTCCTCGTTCTGGTGACCTTGCTAACCACTAGGGATTTCACTCTTTGGAAGCATTTGGCCCTCACTTCCTGTTGTGTCTATCAGGGCTAGTTCACACCAGCCGAAACGCACTGGATCGCATTCCGGGCCGCCTCACTTTGTTTTGGGGTGAGAGGGGGCGTGGTGGTGCTTTGAAGTCAAAGGCACCGCAAACTCAGCCTCCGGCCAAGTTTGCGATTGGCTGCACGGGAATGAGTGGCACATCAATGCCTGCATTCCGGTCAGAAAAAAATGCTGCATATTTTGGTATTCTGATAGTTGCCAACCGTCCGGCGTTGGTGGTGGGCGGTTGGGCATTGAGGGAAATGTTATCTAAACTGCGACAGAATCTGGAGCAGATGCCCATGGCAACCAATCAGCTTCTATCTTTCAAAGCTTAACTGAACAAACTATAGAGACGCTGATTGGTTACTATGTGCAGCTGCTCCAGATTCTGTCTGCTCCAGTTTTGATAAATTCCCCTTACTCTGTAGTGTGAGATGAGGAAGTGAGCCTTACATTTAATGATGTATGAATGATTACAGAGCTACATTCATATGTCTGCCTGGTGTCCAAAAGACCTGCATGGGATCACAGAGTAATGAACCAAAAATGCAGCATGCAGGACTTTTCATGACGAGGGAGCATGGAGCCAGCTTCCCAGCCAATCAGGAAGCCGGGTGCCGTGTCATTACATGGCGCCCGGCTTCCTGATTGGCCACAAAGCCAGCTCCATGCT